GAGACTTCAGTGCTGTCCAAGAGTCACCAGTGTGAGAACGAGCCATTAAATAAAGAGATGGAAATGTAGAAAAAAGGCTGGCTCTATATAAGCAGCTATTCACTTGCTTTTACTAGTTAAATGTTTTGCTACTATATGCTTTTATAAGGTGCCTATCACCACAAGTTGCTGAAGTTTCATTTAAAAGAGACAAGTTTAAAAGTGCACAAGTATGATTCTCATCTATGCCCAGTAAGAGCCTATTACGATTCTAATACAAAATTATTTGTAACAATATTGTTTTCTCATGATTAAGAAGATGGAAGGTTACAAGAAGAGGAAGCTGAGAAAAATCAGAAGACTGGGCAATAGTTTGAGTCTATAGTAAATTGCAAATTATTTTCAGAGACCTATATAGAATGAGATAGTAGTCACTGTTCAGATCCAAGTGAAGGGGCATCTACATAAAATACCCATGAAACGGGCACTCTAGTTGGCCGTCTCAGTAGTGAAACCAAGTAGATCAAAAAATCTTATTTCTGGCTGTGGTCCCTTCTACAACAGGGATAAAGGACATTGGCAGGATAGTGTATCTGTGGGGTGGATAAAGGATTTCAGATTTTCAGTGTAATCAAGCACACGTACTATGGTTTGGTGTTTGAAGAGGGGGAAGGTTGTAAAAAGACTGAAACAGGTAATTTTTATAATGAATTACTGTACTGCAGAAAGCAACACTAACAAATTTGCAGTAACAGCCATGTGGTAAATGTTTTTAAGAAGAACTACATAAGCGTCTTTCTCTTTATGAAAAACGTTTCTTCCTGTCTCTACCATCCATGCCCTTGCACAAGTGAAGCTGGAATGTAGTCTCCTAAACATGAAATAGTACTTTAATGATGACCTTCCTCCAACGTGCACAACTCAGTCTCATTTATGTTTTGAAACAAGAAGCCCTCTGTGCTATGGTTTCTACAGGGACATAGGGGATAGAAATGTAGTTATACCCACAGCTCAATAAACTACTCTGTGTGTGTCTGCGTCTGTGTGTAAGGGACCCACTCCTACTCCCACTGAAGTCAACAGAAAACCAAAGTAAATACATAACATTAAAAAAATTCTCCCAATTGCAATAAATAATCTTAGGTGTTCTTTCTAACAGTAGGTAGAGCATTTCTTCAGGGAGGTAGGATTTTTAAGTTGACAATGTCCTTTTGCTAAACTAGGTAAGGAAATGTTTTCTTTTTTAATAACATCTTTAATCTGAGAATCTTTTTTTGAAGAGACTATGTGCTCTCTGTAGTGCTGATTGCCTGTCTTGTTGTCAAGCAAATCTCTGCTTAAAGACTACCAGAGCGTGAATTCTGCAAATCCACAGAATTTACTCATGTTTGAAAGGTGGATGAGCTTCACAAAGAACCACACTCATGGAATGCTTCAAGTAAACCTAGCAATTATACTCCTTCGGGAATATGTTAATTTTTTTAAATCACACAATTCAAAATGTGATTAGAGATTATATTTTACTGCTATATGTAGTACAGGTATGTAGATAGTTCTACTAACATTTTATTTGACCCAAAGCAGAATGTAAAACATCACAACAAAGGCCACTAATGGGGAAAGGAGACATGCAATATAAGATTATATGACCCCAATGCTTTTTCTCCTTAATTATTTGATTTTTCTTTCCCTTCCTTGTCTTCAGATTTGGTTCATGAGTCTTTAGCTAAAACAAGGTTGCAGGTGGAATTTTGCAGCTTTCAGGGATTTGGAAAAGATTTACAAAATATATCTTCATAGACAACATTATTGATAAGTACACTGTAGACTTTTGAAGAGAACACACAGGTTTCATTTATACTACAGAAGTTGTACTTTCAGGATTTACACGCATCAGTCTTGAAGCATTTCTCAGCTCCTGTAGTTGCTTAGCTGGCTTTCCAACCCCTTCCTCAAACCTTTTCTCCACAACAGGAAGGACAGTTTCATAAAGAAAAGATGCATTCTGCCTGATGAATGCTTTCTTCTCAGGCTCCTGTTCACACCGTAAACTGTAATCGACATGCTGGACAGCCACAAGGATGATCTCCACTAGGCTTTCCAGTAGAACCATGTGCAGTTCTGGAAAATACAGCTTGAGTGCTTCCTCCAAGAAGGCCATAGTCTGCTTGGTAAAAGCCACCACAGTGTAGCTAAGGTTCACCCAGCAGTCATCACCAGTGTATTGGTCAAAACTGCTCATCCCACAGCTCCTCATCTCCTCTCTGAGTTTCCCCAGAGCCTCTGGGGTCATCAGGTTCATCCTTCTCCACATCTCTTCAGAGTTGCGATGCTTGGTGGCCTCAATGATGATATCTTTGTAGCTCTGCAAAGCTCCTTTGATATCCTTCACCAACAGGGCATGAATGATGAAAGTGAGGTCCAGCCCAATCTCGCTGAGCTGCTTGCAGTGCTCCTTCGCTACCTTCAATAATAAAATGTATTAATATTTATCTGGATATCTTATACCCTAAATGTTTTACAGACTAATTTAGTTAATCACCATGTTACCCTTAAAAGTAACAGCCCTATTTTATAGATATGAAAAATAAGGCAGAGATTAAATGTGTCTTAAAAAAAAAGAAACTGATTTTATATATTTATATTAGAAATGCAGATCTTTTCTGCCACAGAACACTACGGACAACTAGAGCAGTAATAGGATCATGTCATAAGAGCCTGAAAGCTAGGCAATTAAGTAATAATGGATTTTTAGTATTTTTTAAAAAACTTTTGTTAATCCATATTCAAATCCAATCCAATAAACTCTTTGGAGAAAGGCACATTCATATTTTAACAAATAAATCTTATCCCTTTAATTAAGATGTGAACGAGCTGACAAACTTTGCAATCTCCAATCAGTCTTTGGGCAAAATATAGGAAAACCAAACTTGGTATTGCTGATATTCACAGGATAAAAGACAAGCAGAAAAAAAAAAAAAAAACACACAACAAAAAAAGCCTTTCACACATCATAAAGAAGGACACTTTTCAGACCAAAGCCACAGAGGTAATCAGTAAGCGAACAAATATTAGAAATCAGAAGTTACTGGTTTCTTCCAGGAATGGGGTCAATTCACCAGACCATACTACCTTCCTTACACACTTACCTTTACACACTCAGCAGCAGTGGACAAGCTCTCTTTACTGTCGAATACTTGCTTGCTAAAGGCATCTACAAACATCCTCATAGCCGAGCGGGCCCACACAATGAAGGCAGAGTAGCAGCCACTGTTGCCAGCAAAGTCTGTCTCAAACTCCCTGGCAGTCTCTAGCAGGCTGGTAAAAAAGACATGGCAAAGCTTGTGGATGTAGAGCAGAGTAGCACCCTCAATGCGCAGTTGACGGATGGCTGTGTGTACCGCAGCTGCCCTGTTCTTCAAGAAAAGCTCACATGCCTTGGTGGACTGGCCCAAGCGAATGAGCTGGGACACAGCCCGGCGAGTGGCCCTAGGACCACCTCGTAATGACCGATCTGGAGATAGCTCAAACACCAGCACATCGGTGAGCTGCCTGACTCGCTCATCTACCTTGGCTCGAAGCTCCCTCACTGGCTGGCTCACGGCCTTGTATCCCAAATACTCATTCAGCTTATCCAACAGGTCCACTGCCCCCTCAAAATCTCTCTGGGCAATGCAGACATCTAGGTCTTCAGGCAACTCCTGGATCCACTCCAGGGACAAATCTACTGTCTCTTCCTCAGGTGGGGGTTCCTTTTCATCTTCTTGGTCAAAGGGATTGGCGGTCTCAGGAGGTGGGGGAGCAGCCCGTGGCAGGGCCTCCTGCTCCAACCTCAGCTTCTCACTGAGGGCGCGGTTCCGCTTGGTCTCCTCCAGCACCTCCAGCCACTCCTTCTTGATCTTGGCATTCTCGGCCTGGAAGATGCGGCTCTCGGGAAACATGAGCAGCTTGAACATGTCCTTCATGGGCGGATTGTCCTTGACATTGATCACAGCCAACCCTTCCAGGGGGTAGAGAGCATCGTAGCGGTAGGCTCCACGCCGGTTGGGCAGCCAGGTGGCCACCAGCAGGCAGTCGTTCATGAGGAAGGCGTGCACCCGCTGGATCTGCGCCATGTGGTCGGCGTCGTACTCCACCAGGTCCCCGTTGTAGACGAGGTACTTGCCGGGGCTCTCGGGGAGCAGGTCCCGGCAGCCCTCCACCTTCTCCAGCAGGGTGGTGAGCGTACGCTGCCGCCCCTCCTCGCTGGCGGCGGCCTCCTTGGCCGAGAGGGGAAGGAAGGGGTTGCTGTGGGGGTCGGCGGCGGCGCGGCGGGCGCCCAGGGCGGGGTCGTCGCGGTCGGCCTGCAGCAGCAGGGCCTGGGTGACGGCCTCCATGATGCCCTTCTGCTCGGTGAGGATGTGGCTGAGCTGGTACATCTCGCTCTCCAGGTAGCTGATCTCGCGCGCCGTCTCGATGAACTGGCGGTAGTTCTGGTAGACGTTGCGCTTGAGGCTCTGCGCCGTCTCCTCGCTCAGCGCCTGGATGCGCTGCCGGTGCTCCTGCAGGTCCCGGTCCCCGTCCGACTGCTGCGACAGCTGCTTCACGTACTCGCCCGCCGCGAAGCCCCCCGACTCCAGCTGCCGCCGCAGCCGGCTCCCGCCCACGCCCTCACTCAGCGGCAGCGCCATCGGTACCGCCAGCAGGGAGGCCGCAAGCCCCGACACACCGAGAGCGGAAGACAGTGACAGCAGATACGGCACTGGTGCTACTGCGCCTGCGCTGGGAAAGGGCGCATGCGCCAGGATTGCGCGCCAGCTACTGCGGCATATTGCGCATGCGCCTGGAAAGCGTTGAAGGCGTAATATTCCTGCGTCAGAAGCTGTACTGCGCAAGCGCTGATTGAGGGGGCTGTAAAGTTGAGTGTGGGACGCTATGGGCGCACGCGCAAAAGGAAAGTGGTAGAATACGCATGTGCTGAGAAGTGGGCAGCAGGAGGCAGCTGTATTGCGCATGCGCCAGAATCCGAGTCAACGGTTGCCGGTTGGGAGCCTGAAGGGCTTGCACAGTGCACTTCCGGCCTGCGCTCCTTCGCGGCAGCGGCCGAGCCAGCGCGGCGGGGCAGTTCAGCGAGCTGCTCCTCGATGGACGGAGACTTCCTGCTGGCGCTGCGGTTACAGGCGCAGTGGGAGGAAGAGGAAGCGGCGGCGGCGGCAGCGGCCTGTAGCGAGTCCCCGCCCGGCTCCGCAGCGCCGCCGCGGCCGCTCTCCGTGGTGGACGAGGCCTGGGAGCTGCTGGACCCGAGCCCCGACGTACGCGGCCTCTTCGTGCAGTTCAACGAGACGCTGTTCTGGGGGAAGCTGGCGGCCGTGGCGGTGACGTGGAGCCCGCGCATGACGCTGTACGGTAACGGCTGCGGGCGGCTGGGGAGCGGTCCGGCGGCGGGGCTCGGGCGCTGCGGGACCGCGCTGCCGGGGGCGGAGGGAGCAGGAGCGACCGGCCGCGCTGCTCCCAGAAACTTGCGGCTCCGGTTAAAGCGCGATCGCCGCTGCCGGCAGACGGGAGGGGGTCTCGGGGGCCCTTGGATCGCTACCTCGGGAACTTCGCTGGGGAACTGGTTCAAACTATCAGGCTATGGCTACACTTGCAGATGTAGCGCGCTGGGAGTTAAACCAGCCCGGGGAAAGCGCAGCGGGGAAAGCGCTGCCCTGTGTTTACACTGTCAGCTGCAAGCGCAGTGGCGGGGCCACATTAGCAGCTCTTGTAAGGCCACAGAGAGCAGTGCATTGTGGTAGCTATCCCAGTGTGCAAGTGGCTGCAGCGTGCTTTTCAAATGGGTGAGGGGTGGTGGAGTCTGACAGGGAGTGTGTTGTGTGCATGTGGGAGGAGCGACTATGTTTTGGGGGCAGAGTGTGTCAGCATGCTGTCTTGTAAGTTCAGACAGCGCAGGGGGAAACCCTGACATCACCCCCCTTGCCCCTCTCTCACAGGCTGCCAGGCCAGGGGGCAGCAGCATTCCACAGTAATAGTTGCTTTGTGTCCCAGAGCAGATAAGCAAGCTGGCTGTCAGAAACAGAGCTTTGAAAGGGGATATATGCATGCCTGCAGCCCAGTTCAAAACAATGCCAGAGAGGCCACTTGACTTCAGGAAATTATGGGATGTTTCCGGAGGCCATTCACAGTGCAGTAATGCAACATGTCGTCCACATTGACACCTGTGTGTTTCAGCCAGGGTGCAGCAAGCTCTATGCTTCTCTTGGAGGTGGATTACCGGGGCGCTCCAGTCGTGGGGTCCAGATGCTCGAAGTGCCTTGCCAGTGTTAGGGCACCCAGGGCTGATTTAATGCGCTCTAACTTGCAAGTATAGCCAAGCTCTCAGAAACTGATCTGCTCCTGGAGGGGGCGATGTGGGGAGAAACCCGCCACATGTCTGCAAAGGCAGAGGGCGCCTCCTGGGCCTACAGGCAGGTCACTGAGCCAGCAGAGAGAGATGTGGAGAGGATGTGGCTGGGCCTTTCAGACAGACTTCTGTCAGCAGCGCCCCACGAGGTGGTGTATAATGATGAGGTGCGAGGTCAGGTGCTGGTGTCTCTCTAGCAGCTCACTTGGAATAGTTAATTCCTATTACCTCTGCTCAGGACGTGACCTGTTCAGTGACATCATGTGTCACACTCTACTGACTGGACACTTACAAACTGAAAATCCCTCCTTGGCTTCACACACCAGAAACGTGTTTCCCACTAGAGTAGGTAAACCTGGCGGGGCATTATAACAGGCTGTACAGTAAGTACTGTTAGTCTGTGTGTGGTAAACTCAAGATGTGTATGTCTGCATATTACACTTACTATAAGATGTAGCTCTTCTGTTTTGTTTTCACCAAATGTTTGTTTTGAAAGATTTCAGAAAAGGGAAACTCAAGTGAAAGCAGTAGCAATACTGTATATTCATATGTTTTAGGACTATTTTAGAAGAAATTTTTTTGCCATTTCCTAGTTTGTACTGTAAAATTATTGATTAAACTCTGGATAATTCTTGCTTTTTGGACTTTAGCAATGTTGTGTTCTTTGAAGAGTTGTTAAAAATTCTTGGTTTACTTGGCAATGTTAAGAGGATCAGTATTTGTGTATTTAATTCTCAGTTCTGCTCCACCAGCTACAAAAACAAATAGAAGTCTACCTTCTGCTTATTTTTCTTTTTAAGATGTGCTGGAGTGTGCAGCTATGAAGGAAGAGGTGGGATGTGTTCCATCCGCCTTAGTGAGCCACTCTTAAAGCTAAGACCAAGAAAGGATCTTGTAGAGGTATTTTAAGACATTTCATCTATGTGTAAACTTACTGAAGTGTATCCTATCTTAAATTTTGCACTGGAATTCGTAATGCACAATGTCATCTAGATTATAAAATAGTCTTTGCTTTGATAAGAAACTTGTATTAATTGCTTACTGGTGGTTGTCTACCATAATTTTGCATACTTAATCTCAGTCATAATTTTTCTGAAGTGACATCCTTATGGGTAAGGCCCAAAGTCATCCACCCATCTTACTCCCAAAAATAGGAAAAATATTTTTGAGGGATTTAAAATATCCCCTTCCTTAATGTTAAAAATGTAAAGTTGGTTTCAGAATGCCAAATAAAATTATTTCAATTCAATCTCTTGGCTGAGCAGCCCAGTAACACAAAAACTAGGATGAAGGATTTGATCATACATGTAAGTTTCATGCTGTTCCTCAGTTCTTTGCCAGTTCTGTTGTTTTGAGCTGGTTGGAAATTAAAGTTGGACAAGATTCCTGTTCTGAAGTGCTCAGAATCTGCATCCCATTGCTGGCTCACAAGCATCACTTTTCTCCTGGGGAAATAATTTTTTTAAAAAAGCCTAATTCAGGGGAGATCAGATTTTGAATATGTCATTCTTCATAGTAATGTCCCTTTGAATGCCCTTTAGGACATATGGAGAGAATGTGTGGATTTTGCAGTTTGGAGACAGGATGATTTTTAGCAGAAAGTTGTTATTGTATTCTTATGACCCATACAAATTTTATTTCCATGCATTTGCAATCTAAGTATCAAGATGCATAGAAAGTAGTAAAGCCAAAACGAGCTATTAGCTATATTTTAAAATAATATATCTCATGTTTTTCAAAAACATCTAGCAATTAAATGATTTTTGTTTCAGACACTCTTACATGAAATGATTCATGCCCTATTATTTGTCACTAACAATGACAAAGACCGTGAATCCCATGGGCCAGAGTTTTGCAAACACATGCGTCGTATCAATCGCCTGACTGGAGCCAATGTTACAGTAAGTCATTTTTACTTAACAAAATACAATCTAGAAAATTTAAACTATATTTTCTATTCAGGTACTATGTAACTGGATATTTCAAATACAGTATGATAAATATGTTGGCATTTATTGTTAGCAAGTCCATAGCTGGTATGAACAGCTTTGGGTAGAGAGAGCTTTGTACCAGCTGCACTAGTTATGGGAGGCCGGGGAGCAAGCAGGTTGAGGAGAGTGCAGTAAAACCTGTTTGGGAATATGTAACTTTTTTTATTTTATTAAAATAATATATAAATATTTTTTTTAAATACGGTATCTCTGGAGCCATTTTGGTTGAATATTTGTTTTTAAACTTTTAGTGTTATGAACTCTTTTAAAGGAAAAAGACTTCAACTTCAGAATACAATTTGGGAACTAAAAATCCAGTTTACTTTTAAGACTTAATAAAAGAGAGACTGTTGGGTTAACCGAAAATTTTTTATTTTAAAGCTCACATCTATGTTATTACTAATGCCTTTGATAAATATGTTAAGTTTTGAATAAAACTCCAATTTACATTTTATTATTACGTTTCCTCCTCCATATTTTTTCTTTTTAGAAAATGAAAACCAAATCATCAGTTTCTTTTGTTCATAGTCAGAACTTGATATTTTACTTCCTGGTTTTCACATATTCTTACTGTAGTGCACTGATTGGGAGCAAACAGCAGTTGCAGATAGGGCTTTTTAATGAATTCAAACAAAATATCCAGCAAAAATTTCTATTGGTCTTAAGTTTTATAAAAGCCTTGTTTTTACAGTATCTAAATTTGGGGCCAAATTTGACCCAACAGTTTTCCTTTAGCTGAATAATAATAATAATAGATAACATTAAAATTCAAGAAGATTCTGTACTCCAGTTACTAACTTAACGATGCAAGGAGGGGAGTTGATTTATTCCTCAGCCTAGGTGCAGAATAAAGCTTCATGAAAGGGAAACAAGCATTGATCCATCATTGCTTAATATCTCTTAGTGCACAGAGTGCTAGTTAATATTTAATGGTTATTAGTATGCAAGACTGTGCTGTCCATATATCAGGCTTTTTTATTTTTGGAGGGAGGGAAAAATTATACTTATTTGAAAGTGGTTTCTATGCATACAGTAGGCTCTCTGCTAGCAGGTAAATCATGTGCTGTTTTCCTCCTGGCTCTCTGAGGATTTTCCCCATGAGTATCAGTAGTAAGTAGTTAAAGAATGCTAGCACATCTCAAACACGTAGAGTTGAATGATTAATATGAAATAGAAATGACTGTTGTGTTTTTGTTTTACGCTTAGATTTATCACGACTTTCATGATGAGGTGGATTCATATCGCCAACACTGGTGGCGATGTAATGGCCCATGTCAGAGTAGAAAACCTTATTATGGATATGTGAAACGTGCAATGAATAGGGCACCCTCTGCGCGAGACTTCTGGTGGTCTGACCACCAACAGACCTGTGGAGGCACATTCTCAAAAGTAAAGGAGCCAGAGAACTATTCTAAAAAAGGCAAGGAGAAAACCCAGCTAGCCAAGCTTTCAAACTCTCAGCCATCTGATACCAAAGGTATGTGACTCTTTCACTTTTCTTCCCTTCAGACCCACTCCTGCCCTATACAGTACTCCAACAAATGCAAATAGATCAAATACTGGAGAAATTGAGTATTAAGATTTTCTGTAATGTTGAATTTGGTTCACATGTTTTTTTAATGCTGGTGTTCCATTAAAGTTATAGCATAGCTAAAGGTCTGTGCAGCGCTATGTGGTCATCAATATTTTTGCTCTAAAAATATGAAGGACCAAATAAATAACTCAGATTTCTGGATTTACCTGTGATCTGTCTTACTATTAGCGAATCATAATTAAAATCACAGCACCTGGCCATTCAAAGGGACGCAGCTTATGAAAATGTCATTCCATCAGTATTAACTTTCATCCCAGAATTTTAAGCAGAAAACTTGTTATGCAGCCATGGCCCTGTGTATTTCAGGGCCACAGAACTTGTAGCAGAATCTTCACCCTGCACAGTAAAATTAAAGGCTTAGGTTCTACAATACTATTAGAAGTTTCTTGTCCTTATCATTGTGAGGAGAGCCTGCTAAGCAATGTTATCTTTCTGAATCTGTAACCAGACAGAATTAATATGAATTAACCACCTTATTTATCGCAGGGGGTTGCTAATTCCTGAAAATGAGTGTAAAATTTCAGTATTCATTATTTCACAGGTGATGACTTTAGCAGAAACCTTTAGCTAATATGATTAATCCACAATCCCCACCTCTCTCCCACCTGCTAAGTGGTACAACTGTCCTCTATCCAGCTTCCAAAATCAACATTTTCTCCCCAGCCCCACACTTGACAACTATTGATGCATTACTTCATTATCAATATGAAAATATACAATATATTAGACTGAAATATGGTGACAGCATAAAATTGAATATAAAAAACAGGAAGGGTACTGTATTGATCATATATATTTCCTGCTTATATTAATTAAAAAGCTCCTTTTTATTTAAATCAAGCTGCTGCAAAAGTTTGTCTGCCACACGAGTGTGTCAGAATTTGGGGGATCTTACCACAGAATTTAGCTCCAGCCTGCTGTGAAATAACAGTCTAGTATTCAAGTCCCATTTTAACTTCTTAGAAGTTCAAACAGCAAGTTGTTTAGTTAACAGACTTGATACTGAGCAAATGTAGTAGATTAGAACAAAGTTACTAATCACTCCTCTTTTGCAGGAAGGATACATGGAGGTGATATACGAAGCCTAATTCCTTTTAGTGGAAAGGGATATCAGCTTGGAGGAGCAGGCCTTTGGTCCTCCGAGAGTCACAAAAGTTCCAACAACAGTATTAAGGGCAGAGAAATACCCAGTCCACAATGTTATTCAGCAGCTGGAACTGCAAGATCAGTTCCTAAAAATGAACTAAAATTTGAACCAAACATATTCAGTACCAGCATTTCCCATCCAGTTTTTACTGATAGCTCCAAGCATAAAAACAGCTTTGCTTTGAACCACAAGTTTCCTAAAATATCTGTCGCTAATACAAAAGCTTACAGGAATGTTGATGGGTCGCCTGTTAAAATTCCTCCTGTTAATGGAGGAAATTTGAACCAAAGTCCTACAAACGCTAAGTCGGTTTTTCCATCTTTTAATGAGACACCAAAACGAACTTCCTTTGGACAAGCTGAGACAACTCCAAGATCCTGGGTTTCATCCCAGGGAAATAGCAGCTTTGAAAGTGATGGTATACCACAGAAACGGCCAAAAATGGAAGACAAATCTGCCTTTGTAAACTACTTTATAAAGAGAGAGAGTACTGATGGCACTTTTAGAACTAGTACTCCTCTAAAAAGCAATGCTGAACCAACAGTGTCCTCTGAACGTTGTAGTTCTGCTGTTAGTCAGGATAAAAAAGTTAGTTGTCCTGTTTGCCAGACCGAGGTTTTGGAAACCAAAATAAATGAACATCTAGACTCTTGTCTGACATAACCTTTGAAATGCAATCTAACAATTAAGTGCTAAGAATTGTTTGAAATCTTCAAATTACATTGCTCAGGGTTTATCCAGTTATGATTGTTGTCATGTGCCTGTACACTGGCCTGTATTGTCCAAGCTGGAAACTTTCCTATATGTGTAAAGTGGAGTCTGAATTTCAGCATGAAGGGAGGGCAATTCTGATTTTTTGGAGTTACAGGTTAGGATCTGATTTATATACTCTCACGGTGCTTGTTTCCCAAAATTGCCTAAGGCTATATGTACACTACCAAGCCTACATCAGCAAATATATATGCCAGCACAGGTGACAGAAGGAGGAATTCTGTTGGTGTGGGAAAAGCGCCTCCCTGAACGATTTTAGCTGTGCCAACAGAAGCCCTCTTCTGTCCGTATAGCTGTGGTCTATGTCGGTGGTATAGTTCTAATAAGTGTGTCGCTATGAGAGACAGTTATTCTACACCCCGACCAACATAGCTATGTCGGTATAAAGTCGGAAGTGTAGACCAGGCCAAATACACTCCTGATTTTAGTAAATGCAATTGTGGTTGGGTTACATTTTTACTGCAGAACCTAAGTATGTCTCCTCCCATGGTAATACTTACTAAATTCTGAAATCTTAGATGAGTTCTAAAAGCAGCTTAACATTTTTAACCATGTTTTGTCTTTTTGTACTTCTCCTTGGTCCCCAAAATGTTCTTTAACTTACCCCTGGCCACCTTTAAATTTAACTTCTAAACTGTCCCCTTCCACATACACGGATACCAACTTATCAGTTTACCACAATGAAAATGTGTTAATGGGCATTTTTTATATTATTATAACACCAAATATTGTGTTTTGGCCACAGCTACCAACTCTCCAGAGATCAGTTTCACCCAAAACTTTTTAAAGGGCAGGTAGGAATGAGGGTGGAATTAGATTCAAATTATGGCTATGTCCACATTGCCAGCGAGGGGTGTGATTTCCCCTGCTCATGTACACATACTCGCTCTAGCTCTCTTCAATACATACCCACTAGTTTCAGGTGGGTAGGCACTCAGCTCAGCCATATCTCTGCTGCTGCTACCTGTTACTGCAGCTACATTGCTATTTATATTTGCACTAGTTGGATGAGAGTGCAAGTACGTATACACAACCAGGGGAATCACACCTCTCGCTGGCAGTGTAGACATAGTTTGTCTTCATCAAAAATGGGGAGCAGCTTAGAAGTTTAAAAAAAAATACAAGAAGTCTGTTTTAGTATAATCTTGAGTAAGTGAAAGCATGGGTAGAAAATTAGTGATATGGGAGGGATTCTAGATACTTAATACTGCTTGGTGCATTTGAATAAGCATTAGGCTGTAGATTTAAGGACCTATTAGCGATACATATTGGGTTTTGAAGCATTGGTTAAGAGGGACAGGAATAGGAGCTGAGGAATTTAAACATCCTTATAGTGTTACGGCATAAGATTATTAATTTTTGTTTGGCCACTTTGGCTTGTTTTTAATGTGCATTGTTGGCATGCAGGCAGTAACAGCTAATTCATGGTCCAACAATTTCCGCTTTTTTCCTTCTCTCCCTCGCACTGGCCTTGCTGCTTATATTGACACTTCAGTGGCTTTCACACAGTCCAAGAATGTGTAGTATGCATTTCTGTATATTTGAACCCTAAAGGCTAAAACCACCAAGAGTAAAAATAGGGGTGAGTACAAGTAGCAAAACTAGAAGACATTGTCATATCACTAGTCCTGCCACAGAATTCTAACTGAAGACCTGAATTTAAATGAAGATTTCCAATTGAATTCACATTCCAGAAAGGCATCAGATTGCAATCAGTGGCAGAGCTTTGCTTCGCTTCCTTACCAGCCTAATTAATAGTTCAGTCAATATATGCTAACAGCATTCTATTACATGTTATGAATACCAAGTAAGATGTATAAAGCCTACTGAAATGTCTACAGTTCTGTTGGTGCATTAAAGATATTTAACTGACTGGTTTGTAGGTGACTTGAGCAATACTTTCACAGTTTAAACTAGCTTTCCAGACAAACATATTATACACTAGGTTGATTTTTGTACTGCTGGTAGGTATATAGGGTGGCTATGATGCAGACAAAAGTGTAAATACAGGTTGTCTTGTTATAAATGTAACGTGGTTTACAGTTGACTTCCTCTGAAATGAGGAATAAACAGATCAGACAGTTATGGAATTTGACCAGTGCTAACTAATATCTGGTTTCAAAGTATAGGAAAAAAAATCCCTAAGAATGCATAGAATGTACATGTTTTTTTGTAGAAACTGCATTTTAAAATACTGACATTACAGAAATGTTTTAATAACCTTAACAAAAATGTCTTGCATATTCTGAATAAATCATGATGCTGAACCTTGGGTGGTTAAGTCTGGTTTTCACATGGCTGTCAATGACCATCTTTTTTGCTCTTTAGACACAATTGTACAACAATAGTCACTTTTAACAGTTTACTCCAACATCTGCACAACCTTCCCTTCTTAACTACCCCACAAACCCAAACCTTGCTATGGAATGATATTTACTCCTGGGGGGATTCTGTGCCACTGCACATGTACGCAGAGTTCATGTCCCCTGCAGCTTTCTTTGTTTCCCTGCAGAAAAATGATTTCTGAAGGCAAAGCAAAGGGAAGCCATAAGAGCGCTCATGCACCCCTCCATGGGTGCGTCAATTTGGGCATCCGGAGTAGCCGGGGGAGATGTAAATCACTGCCAGAGAAGTGGTGGTAGAGGAGGGGGAGTGGGACTATGCGAGCGAGCGACTCTGTCACTCGCTATCACAATGGTCCTGGTGTGGAGGGGCCAGGCTTCAGGGTGTTTCTGAGGAGGTAGGTGTGGGCTGGCCCTGGCCCCCTCAGGCAGAGCAGAATGTTAACACTGCCTACTTAGTGAATTGTTCCCATTGTTAGTGAATTCCCCCAGGAGTATAAAACAGGTGTAAAAGTTTTAAGGCTCCCTTACAGTGCCAGAGTGGTGCAAATGGCCAATTTGAAACTGACAAGAAAGCCAGGCAGCTACAGCCCAGCTGCCCCCGCTCTCCTGGAGAGCTGGGTGTCTGGACCCCATTCCTGGTGAGGAACGGGGAGCCGAGAAGCCCTAGGCGGCCCACCAGGAGCCTGTGAGTATCCAAGCTCCTGGCAGGAAGCTGCCAGCAGAGCTCTCAACACTGCCCCTCTTAGGTTGGTGGAAGCACTCCTGGTGAGGATGTGCACCACTGACCTAAGGAAGGTATTGTGGACATGAGCACCGCAGTAATTACTGTGGTGGCTCTAAGTTGACCTAACGTAGGTCCTCTTCTCTTTGTAGTGTAGACATAATCTTAGTGATTAGAATTGGTCTAAATTTTTGGACTGAAAAATCTTCCTATTAAATGTTCTCCATGAACTGTTTACTACTGACTTTTCTGGAGATGGTCAGTAGGCAATATAAATTGTGAGTTTGATTCCGCAGCTCTCACTTGGTCTTCAGTTGTTTATGATTTAATATTGAGCATATGGCTGCACATATTTGTTGACTAATAACTAGAAATAAAGTGGCAAACCTAGATACATTACTATTAGCCAAAGGGATTTTGTCTCCAATGCTCCCCACTCCCATTCTCCAGCCATCTCAGCAGTTCACCTGAATCCCTGCCTGAGTCATTTCTTCTTCCAAAAGGATGTCAGTCATCTGCTGCAGGCACCATGAACTCTTGAACATGGCCCAGAATCCTCTGATGCTGCAAAGTAGATTATAGGCAGCCCTTAATCCTAGCTGCTTTTCTGTCATTTTCTCATTGGACTGGCTTCCCATTTGTTTTTGGGTGCAATTCAAAGTTTTATTTCTGATCTACAGTGCAAAGCATTACATGGTTTAGGACTTGGTCTCTTTTTCCCTGTGCACCATCAAAGAACAGCAGAGATCATGTGGAGGCACTTTTGTTAATAGCTTAACTTTATTGACCCCTGAGCGGTACAGCCATCTTCTTGGTCAAGCACATGCTTGATTTAAACTCATCAATACATTATTTATCATTGGTAGGGAGTACAGGGAAGGGGGCTGTTATTCCAAAATATGTCAGCTGGTGGGTCCACAGTGGGTCATCTTCAGCTAGGGAAGTGCACGAGTGTAGCATGCTCTGACTGGGCTCCTTTCCCCACCCCTCCCTGTTTCATGTGTAGGGATTGGCATTGGACAGGAGTCAGGACTCTTTTATACCAAGGGAATTCTCAGCCAGGAAGAGCTATGTGCTTTCTGGCTTTTTTCCTGTGTCAGAGTGGCACAGTGGGGCTAGATTACAGCTCAGCATCTAGTTTACATCTTGTGCCTTTTTTTCTGTATTGTCGTTTAAATAAATTACCAGAATAATTGAAATTGGTGTGATTGTATTGTGTTATTTTGACAAATAAAATATGCAGAATTTTAAAATACTTTGTGCAGAATTTTTTTTTTTTTTGGTACAGAATTCCCCCAGGTTAAACAGTGTAGAGATGGTTAAAAACAGGCTGCACTGTTTTCCCCGGTCTCCATCTTTTACTTAACATAGAGTTATAGGGGATGTTTTGGATGTTTTGCCATTAATAGTAAGTTTAAAATGATTACTCAACTACTGATCTTAGGCCTTGATGTGACCTGTTCTTTATCATCAGTTTTGTTTAGATGGACATATATGTATTTTAGTTGTACAAATGCCTCCACAAAACGTAATATATAGTGAAAGAAAGCAAGTTTCCTGACTTATGGGACATTATCGACTTGAAATCCTAGTCGGTTAAAAAAAATAATTTAATAGTAGTTTCAAGTATGCACCTATACACTTCAAGTTCTGTCCTAACAATTACACAATCTTCCCCCTCACAATTTTTTCTCACCTAGTACAGCATAAAAGACCTACAGAAACAGGAGAAAGTGAAACTGCATTTGCCATCATTTTTTTGTATAGTGTCAAAGTAAACAAATTGAACACAGATTTTTTTTCTAAGCTGCTAAATAATTTTAGGTGTTACCTATACAGTTGTCAGTAACAACAAATTTAACAAATGTTATTTTATGTACTACTGGTGTTCTTTCTTTACGGAATCAAAAACTACCACATCAGTTATTTGGGGGATGTTTATTGGATAGTGAGTTTTTCTAAATTCTATCTTTGACAGTGTGAAAGCATTGTGAAAAATCTTTTGGATTGGCCTGTCACACCTTCAAAAAAAATCAAATCAAAACTGGATTGCCTAAAGAATTTGGCAATCATGGACAGCATTTTGAAAAAAAAAATCTGGCTTTCTGCCCATGCAAATCTATATGATTAAGTATAATGGTATGGTAGCCAGGCATTTCTTGTGCAATAGTTATATAAGAGTTTCAAAGCTCTTTAAGCAGCAGACTCTGTAGTTATTTTATACTGGAAGGTATTAGCATGTCTCTAAGCTCCCATTTTAGTGTATTGCTGTGAGTGCTTCTTGTAGAAAGGTAAGTTTTGCACTTCTATCAGTGATTCAACTTTATGTATGAAGAATATAGTACCTCCTATGATGCTAGGTGATTAAAGAGGACCATTTATATTACCACTGGATTTATTTGGGCATAAGCTTTTGTGAGTAAAAACCTCACTTCTTCGGATGCATCCGAAGAAGTGAGGTTTTTACTCACGAAAGCTTATGCCCAAATAAATCTGTTAGTCTTTAAGGTGCCGCCAGACTCCTTGTTGTTTTTGTAGATACAGACTAACACGGCTACCTCCTGATACTTATGTTACCACTGTTATACAATTACTATCAATCTTGTACAAAGTGTATCATGTAAGGTGTCAATGGAAACGTTACAATCTAGCAAGTATGATTATCCTGGTTAAATCCCGTATCATCTTTGTATCTGAAGTTATGAATATTGGCTATGTACTTGTATCAGAAACCTGTGTTGTATCCCTGGATTTACTTCAGAGCTAGACAGCTATGTATTGATGGCCCATCAAGGACAATCAGCTCTCACAATGGGCCAGTGAAGAAACTCATCCCACCCAGTAGCTCTTCCTGAGGATGCCTGAGACAGTAAGGAGCCAATGGTCATCCCCTGTGATTCAGCAAAACATGCAAGGGCATGTGACATGCTCCCAAGACCCTGGACTCCATCTTGGCCCAGTAACTTTCCATGTACAGGGGCTGTGGGCTTTGTTTGGGACAGTAAACGTCCATGCACACGGCCACAGGATATAAAAGCACACCTGAGACATCTCCATGTTGCCTCTTTCCTGCTCTGGTTCTCTGGACTGTGGCTTTACAACTAAAAGGAGCATTTTGAACTATGTATTGAGGAGCTTCCGTTCTTTTGGAAGTTACCAGAGAGATTTTACAAGCCAACAGTCTATTCCATGACTGCTAAAAACCTGATATAAGGACTTTGCAATCTGTATGTATATGATCTATTAACCATTTATAATGCTTTTCTTTTCTTGTATGATTAAAACTTTAGTTAGTTTACTAACTAAAAGGATTGGCTGACAGGGTGATATTTGGTTAAGATCTGAGATTCATACTGACCGGGGGGGGGGGGGGGGTCTGATCCTTTGGGATTAGAAAGAACCTCACATATGGTGAAATGGGTTTTCAGTAACCTCTCACTATATTAGATTGGGTTTCCCCAGGGAGCCAGGGGCTGGAATGCATTAAGGGGACTGTGTTTGGCTTCTGTTCAGTACCACACTTAACTAGTGTGGTACTCTGCAGAGGCTCTTTTGTTACTGGTTTGGTCACTCTAAGTATAGACTAGACCATCAGTTTTGGGGGATTGTCTACCCTATTTCTTGCAGTCTGCCCTGAGTGTGGCATTACCAGTGTGGTCTATCCCAGACACCTGGTCACACCTCCCAAAGTTACAGTATTTTGAATACAGAATGAAATTTGGTAAGTTATGCCATCAGTTAAAATAAATCATTTTAAAGAAATTTAGCACCTTGTATCAGACACTTTTTTGTCCCTAATTTTAAGATCTGGTGTGGTCTACTGGTGCACGCTGGCAGAGAGGTGTATTTAATTGATATTTAAGAGAGAAATTTATGAATGGAAGATACCAGACATACATGTTGCCTTATCTTGTTAGCTAAAGGTTGCCCTACAAACTTGAGAGGGAAAAGTCTTATTTGATGGTGGGTTATTGGATTATCTTGCTCATATACCAAAAACCAAGAGGACCTAAACAATTCATAGTATTTCTTTTCCTGCCAGGAAGATAAATGTGGATGTAGTATCACCTGCCTACCCAGTTATGAAAGGGGTTTGTTCCTATTATAGAAGTGCTCCCCAGGCATAAGTACATTTTGATGGGCAAGGGTGAATAGATTTCATACCTCAGCTAGTAACTTTTCATAACACTTTCTGAACAGGTGCTTTATAATCCTAATGGGGGAAGTAAATTTGTCTGAAAGACCCCATTTCCAGATATTTACATTCATAAACTCCTACAAAACACACTGCAGTTCTACTGCACCACTTGTAAAAGGACATCAAGAGTTTGCTTTACAAACATTTTGCAAAAACCTCTCAGGTCAGCTGCCCTTTAAAAAATGCTAACAATGCTCTGTGTATTAGGTTGAAATACCTAGATCATCTAAAATGCAAGTTAATCGTGTTGACTCATCTCTAGCTGTGGGAGATAAATTCATTCATCTGAAGCTTAAAACCAGGCTATACTATGACCAGGTCTACACTACACACTTACCTCAATATAACTATGTTGGTCAGGGATGTGAAACATCCACACCCAAGTGATACAGTTATACTGACCTAACCCCCAGTGTAGACAACGCTGTGTCGATAGGAGAGCTTCTCCCATCAACATAGCTACCACCTCTCATGGAGGTGGATTAACTACGCTGATGGGAGATACTCCCCTGTCAGCATAGTA